ACAACCTTGCTAGGAATTAGAAGGCAGAAACAGTTCAACAGTTCAAGTTCCAGTGAGTGCACGAGCTTCGGAGACCAAGACCTTCCCATCCCCAGACACCTGCTCTGCTCTGGGGCTAGAAATCCTGCAGGTTTCAGCTCCCATGCAGCCATATATGTGCAGAGATCAAGTAGTAGGAGTGCCACCTGCTGACACTAGAGATTATATAGCATCATCTATACATCAATCCCTCCTCTGCTGAGGTCACCTTGCTTGTCTCCAAGGCAGAGCTGTCCACCGTGTCCAGTCAGCACTTGCCTTAGGGAAAAACTGCTGGTGCTCGTGGTCCTCACCCTCCTGGCAGGAGAAGACAACATCAGCTGCTCTGATTTTGGACCCATCTGCAAGGGAAGGGGAGGAAGAGCTGTAAAATGGGAGGGTTTTCTGGAGAGGAACCACCATGATGCAAGCACTTCTTGCCAATATGCCCAGTTGGTGGTTAGAGCATTTGCAGGTCCTTTTATTTGTGGCTGGTGGTTTGGGATTTTTTTTTGATATAGAGAGGCTGAGTGACAGTCTCTGGAGAGGCTCGAGGGCTCACAAGGCAGCGCTGAAACCCTATCCACAACTCCCCAAAGACTGTGAGGAGTGATGCCTTGGTGCAGTGGAAGCAAGAGAAGAAACTCTCTGTTTAAAATGGAAAATATTTTATGACCCTTTCTTGTAAGGCCAGGTCCTGTCAGAGGCTCACTATCAAAACCTTTACTGAAGCCTTACAGCTTTTACAGGCTGACTTTTCAGAGGGAAAGGTCATGGTCTGGTCCTTGCAGGGCTCTTGGCATCTGGGGAAGCTTTCAGGTGTCCAGATGCTGGGAAAGGGATGAGTGCTTGTAAGGGAGGAAACCTCCTTGAAGCCCACGTGTGGCTGGTGCAGCCCCAGATGGATTCGGACCCCCTCCCTGTCCAGCACCCCAAGGACACACAGGAGATGCACCTTTTCCAGGACAGCTGTAAGCTGCTTCTCTCTGAAAAGCAAAAAACACATTAGGTTGACTCCAAGCAATCCAGATGGCTAGCACTTACTTAGCCAGTAGTCTCATTTTCCTGGCCACAAGCTGCTTTCAGGAAGCTATTTGCAAAAATGACATATGGTCTCTTTTTTAACTTACAGTGCACTCATACCATCCTAATCATTAACCAAGCCGCTAAACGAGTTTTGATACAGTCCCACACTGGATGACCGCTGAAGTCCTACCAACGTGGCTAATCCTCAGGAAACAGTAAAAATAAGCCAATAACCCATCCAGTGCTCTGAGCCCTTGGCTTCGTAATTTTCCAGAAATTCAGGGGTTGCTACCAGCTGATCCAAGGCAGAACTTCTAGTAATTTCCTCCAATTAGTATCTTTTTTCCTTTACTTCATTTACACAATTTTCTGCAGAAAGCTTTACCACACCGTGCGGTTTCTCATGTTTTACAGGGACAGCCAAGCACCTTTTTGAAACAGCAACCGACTGCCCAAACTGGGCTTAAAGAAATTCAGCGCTTTCTAGTAATACCTTAATCTAGTAATACCTTCATGTGGGAAAAACTTCAAACTTTATGTTTGCCCCCATTGATTTCCTGGGGATGTTGCCATATAAAAAGACACAACAGAGTCCTTTTCATGTCCAAAATCCCTCCTCCACCTCCCGGCAGCACAGGGCTGACTGCTGGGCTGAAAATGTGTCCTCAAAAGCTTTGTTATTTGGCTGTTTACCCTGTCATTTTTCAGAACAAACATCCAGGCAATATTTTGCAGCAAATAAAAGCCAGGTGTGAGAGCCTGACTTTCCTGGCAGCCACTCGGGGCGTGAAGCTGGCAGGTAACCACATGCTGCTGGGCTGTGCTGGAAAAACGTCCCTGTCCCACTTCTGAACTGATTCAAAGCTGAAAACCTTAATCCTTCCTCTCATAACACTCTGGACAGGAGAAAACAAGTTTTTCTATGAAACAGCTTAAAAGCAAAAAAATTAGTGAAAGCCTAAATACCTCACTTATTTCTCAAAGGGGCAGAATAAAGCCCAAACCCCAAGGAGACGGGTGTGATGCCAGGCTGGTTGACACCAAGGTTTCCAAGCTTCTTCCCTACCATGGGTGCAGATAAGAAGCAGGTAAACCCCAATACCCAGCACGCAGGGATGTATTACCAAGGCCAGGCTAATGGGTGAAGGAGCCAAAGACATTCCTGCTTGCTTTCTTAATCTTTAAAAAAGTTCAGATGTGCAAATAAAGTTACTTTTTGCAGGATTCATCCCCTTGGTGAGGTTGGCAAATGCAACTGGCCACCTCAGTGAGAGCCTTTTCACAAGGGTGCACAGGGAGGGATGGGCTTATTCTTCCCTATAATGTGAAAACTCAACTGCAGGCTGACTCTGGTATCTCCCAAGGAGGGAGAAAAAAGCGGAGAGTTGGCACTTGGGCAAAAGGCAATAAAATGAACACAGTTGGGAAGTGGAGAGATCTGCACCCCTTGGAGCAGCTGCATTTCTCGCAGCTCGCACCAGTGGTGCAACTCCTTCAGGAAAGAGCATCTACAATAACGTGCCGTGCTGGGGGATGGCAGAGAGACTTCAGAAGGCATGGCTTGGAAACCATCACCATAGGTCTAAACAGAGTCCTTCCTTTCCACCAATACAAAAGATCCTGTTTCATACCACTGCAAAACTGGGTTTGCATTCTCTGTTTTTTGGGATAGACTTGCTGAGCCCAGCTTTAATGCTATCAGATGTGTAACAGAGCACAACAGTCCTGCAAAGTTCTTTAAAATTCATTAAAATTCAAGGAGGAGGAGGAGCCACATGTGTGCTGCTCAGTTCCACATTCACTGGAAACCTGCTAAGCCAGGGCTGAGAAGCGTTGCTGAAACACATCAGCTTTTGACCCAAAATCCCATGTGAGAGCAGCAATCTCTCTCCTGACTCCTCTTATCATCCCACTTTCCTATACATCCAGCAGCTGCCCCTTCATCTTTACTTACATTATCATTGAACAGCAGCAATGATAAAAAGTTATTTCTGTGAACAAGAGCCTGATGCTATTTTGGCAAGGAAAGAATCACTAGGATACAAAACAAAGACCCCAGAGAGGTGGGTCACTGAGGAGGTCGGTTGAATGCTGTATGCTGCCAGAGCACTATGGGCACGGGCATGATCCAGGGGCTCCCTGCCCCACCACAGGGCAGAGCTATGTGCCACAGAGCACCCACCCACTGTTACAGAAAAGTCCTTGAACAAAGGTTCCTCAGGAACAGCTCTATTATGGGATGGGAATACTACAGGGAATAAGAGGCCCATTGAAAGAAAAAAAAAAAAAAAGAGATTTTTAGATGCTTTGGGGAGTTCAATCCTTGTACATGCAGCCTGCACCCAGCCCATGTACACTGCCTCAGTGATGCTGGAGCTTGCTCAGTGGTCTACATCCTCCCATCAGGATTTGGGACCTCTAAACCTGGGGCACATTGCCCTCAGGCTCACGAACAATGGGGAAATGTGTGCTGGTCAGCCAGGCAGAACACTGAGAAACCAGCCCTTCATGACACTATACACAACAAAATTGCTGTGTATTTTTGTTGCTGAAAGAAGTAGCTGGTCTCTATCCTGGTACAAACCTGGTGATAAGCCAGGGAATGAAGTTTGCAAAGGAAAAGATTCAATTATTTAATTCAGTTCTTTATATTCTGAAAATGAACATGGAGTGCCAAATCAAACAGAATTAAAACATTGGCACAAACATGAGGGAAAAAGTTAGGAGGTGAATTTTTTAATTTATATGCTGGCTGAAAGCCTCCCCCTAGAGATGCCTTTCATTTAAGGCTTTTAACAGTTTGTCTCACCAAGTGAAGACAATAATGGTAGTGCTCACTTGTTGGGATTTTTGTGTTTTCCTTTGCCTTTCTGCTGGCACAGGACGCCATAACCCTTGCTCACACTAGCTGTGGAGGATCAGTCTCTTGTGCTCAGAGAGGGGACAAAAAGAGAAGGAAAAGAGCAAAAAGGAAGATTTCTAAGTGCAGACTGATCAAAGCACAAGGTGTCTCCTCCACGCGGCTCTGTACCTCCGCTTAGACCCACTCAGGCAGCCTCTGTTCTCTCGGCAGAAGGGGTTGCTCTTCTCTCCTCATCTGTCATGAGGCTTTTGGAAAAGTGTAAAAACCCCTGCCTCGTGCTTTGTCACCCACCTTCCACCATCCCAGCGCAGTGCACCAATGTCAAATCCTTGTTTTAAAGCACTAACACCTTAGGTACTAACTGCTGTTATAGAACTTTATAATTCAATTGCATTTTTCACCTCTTTTGAGATTAATGGTTTTATTAAGTGATTTATTTGCCTGGAACAAAATAGTCAGAAGAAAAAAAAACAAAAACCAAAACAATTCTTTCATTTTCATATATACTTTTTGGCCATATATTTCCAGTCTTGCAAAATAACAGTTTCAGACAACTTGAGTGGGGATAACTTGCTGTTCCAGCTTTGTGCAGCCCTGAGCATGCACAGGGACGTCCTGCCCTGTGGCTGGCAGGGCCACAGGACCAACACAAATCCTTCTCTCTGTCAAGAAGAAGGAAGAGGTGACATAGCTTGATATTGCCTGGTGAGGACCAGGCAATATCAGACAGCTACATAATACTTTCAAATGAATGACAGCCATGTAGATTCCAAAAGCGAAAACCAAAGTGTAGGAGGTGGGTGGTGAGAGGCACAATTTGCCTGTATCTGGAGCAGGAGCATGGTGCTGCTGATGATGTGATGGTCATCTAAGAAAGGCAAGAAGCCTCCCCACCAAGTTCAGCCTCCACGGTCTAAGGAATTGGTAGCAGAAAGTAAGCTGTCTAGTGAGACAGGGCATAAGCTAGGAGTGGGGTGACATGGATTTTCTGGGTCCCTACTTGGGACTAGCTTGATGGACTAAGACACGAGGAGGTGATGCTTGGCCCCTTGCCAGCCCATTTTGCCTTGGACTAAGACACGAGGAGGTGATGCTTGGCCCCTTGCCAGCCCATTTTGCCTTTTCTTTCAGCAAAGCCAGGGAGCTTTCTGCAGCACTTCCTGTGGCCTGAGTGGAGGTCAGCTGGAGCAAAGTTACTGGAAGAAGCAGAGGTGTGACTGCGTTTAACATGAAAGTCCCAGGACACTGTTTTTACAAGCCTTCCATCGGTTTGTAAAAAAGCATGAAGAAAAGGCCAAGAGGAGGGACAGTAGGTCCTGGCCCGGCACCAAGGACTGCTAGCATGCACCACATGTTCCTCCAGCCATCTCCAAAAGGACTCTGGAGAAACTCAGGGGAACTCAATCCTAGGAAGGCCATCGAGGTGGTATGTGTAAGTGAGGACACACTTGTTGTAATGCCTTGGCATTCCTCAGCATCCCTCTCATGGCACAGAAGAGACAACAGCTCTGATTCTCTTGGGCTATCCTAACCTGCATGAGTGTGTTACCAGGGAGAAAGTCCATCACAAGGGTGCCAGCACCGACTTAAGGCTGCAGGTTTTTTGGATCAGGACTGTCCCTTTGTACTGCAGGTGGGTGCTTCAGTACTGCCCACCAAACGGCAACTCCCCATTTCCCTCCTGAGACAGAAAAGGAAACAACATACAGTGAGTGAAATTATACCCAAGGCCACAGCCAGCCTCATTAACAGGAGCACAAATTAAAACCAGCTTCACTGACAGCTTTGAGACATGCCTTTTCTAATTACTGCAATGGAGACTGACTATTGCCATTGCCTCTAGCAGTCACTGCAGTTTCTGAAAAGTGTGTGTGTAAGTCACTTTTATATATATATAGTGTCTTGGTCAGCTACCCCTAGAGTTACTAAGTAATGCAGAACTGAGGTATCTAACTTGTTATTTCCACAATTTCACTATCAATATCAGCCTTTCCTTAGTTTTCAGGTTGTTGCTGAAGTCTCCCAAACCTGCACTGTGCTAGACACCAACTGGGGAGTTCCTGGACTAGCAATTTCTGTTGGATCTAGCTCAGTTTGTTGACCAAGCAGCTCTGAGATAACACCCAGCTGGCCTGGGCAGCTTAAGAATAACAGACATTCCCCTGAGCCCACGTGGCCTTGCTGCACCAGTCCTTAAACGACTGCCCATCTGCACCTCTGGGGGCTCCCACCCTCTGGTGATGGGCCAGCCAGGGCTGGTGGATCAGGGCAGAGGTTTCTGGGCCAGCCCAGAAGAATGGCTTAAATTCCATTTGCATTTGCCCTTTGCTCTTGCTGCTACATCTGACCAGTACTGGAAAGTGCTGGATGGTTTCTCGCCTGCCAAAGAGAATCAGCTTTCATCTGAATTTTGCCTGAGGTTGCTCGTTTTCATCTGCAACCTGATGTGCAAAAAGCTCTCCTATTTCAGATGTAATTCTTCAGCATTTTCTTCAGCCCCTGAACCTCTCACATGATTGCACTGGCACTGAAGCCAGAAAAGTTTAGTCATGGCCTATGTCCCTCCTGTGCCAAGGAGGACAGAAAACAAAACAACCACATTTGAAGCCAGTTGATGGACTGAATCCCAGCCCAGAGCTAATGAGATAGAGAGACATTTACCCTGGGAATTTACCCTAGGCAAGAGAGCATTAGCCACACAGTCACCCTCTGTTAAATAAAAGGAATCTCTGATCCCAAAAAACTTGAGCTTTCAGGCCAGTGAGTGAACTGGAAAAACCCACAAGGTGAGGACTTTGAAAAGAATTATGTGTTATCGAGGTGCTTCCCAAACACACGAGAGCTGAGCTCTGCCTGAAGGAAATGGCAATGATACCCCCTCCCTGCAGCAGCTGATGCTGGAGACCCTGTCTCCCTCTGCTTTCCCGCCCGAGCCTTGCCACTGCCGCTTGGGAAGCTCTGCTTCCCTCTCCAGCTGCAGCCCTTCCAAAAAAACATGAGTCAAACCTCAGGAAAATCCTGGAATTAATTTAAAAGTAGCATTTTTTAAAGAAAAAATGGTATGATGCTTGTTTCACTTATTTCCATGGCTTTTAGGGGTTTCACACTGAAGCTTACCTCTGAATCCTTCCCTGGGATGACTGGAGACTCCACTCTAGCTGGGATTTCAAGGCAGACCCCGAACTTGTGAGCTGTACGTTAAAAGTGGGCAGCTCCACAATTCTAGTAACCACTATGGCTTTCTTCCTCATTTTTCCTATTTCTGAAAGAAAAAACAGTGCAAAAGAAAAACCCATGAAATGCTTCCCTTGTTTTTAAAGCAGAAATTCCAAGTTTGACTGCTGACACCACCTGAACCAGTCTCTGCTGCGGTTAGTGCGCAGAAGGTGCTAAAGTGAAGTCTGCCATAGAGCAAGGGCAGCTGAAATTCAGGCATCCTAACAGTAAACCTCACTCTTCCGTCCTCTGGCTCCATGCCCAGCTTGGCTGGGTCATTCTGCTGGAAGATAAGGCTGCAAATGTCCATTGCATGAATCAGGGCAAGACTTTGCCCCTTTTTTCCACTGAAGAACCACGCTGACTTTATATAATGTGTGTATATGTATCTACACCTAGAGACGCATCAAGTGTTAATCCATAGACTAACTTCAGTAATAAGGGTCAGATGTGCATGAATGACTCCACCAACTTTTTTTTTTTTTTTTTCTGGAACGAATATCCCTGTTCCTAATCCATGATCTTAAAATAAATGGAACAATAACATGAAAGCAGCCATGTGCTCCCTATTGATCCTCACATCCCTGCCGCTGCTGCAGCTGCTTGCCTGCACTCTACTAGCAGCAGCCCAACCTGGATTAGATCTGCAGCTCTTCCAATTTGCTTGTGTTTTGCTCACTCGTTCAGAACAGGAGTAAATGAGGACCGTGCACCGTGCAAGAGAACAATGAAGCTTGGTGACCTGCTAACTAGTTCTGGTTTAGTTGCACTGCGGTGCCTGACACCCCAGTGGGAACCTCTGCATGGAAGCATGACATGTAGCTTTGGCTGTGCTGGTGCCAGATTTGGTTCTGAAACTAAGCTGTGGAAGGAAGCTATGGACTGGATGCAATTTTCATCAATTCTGTAGAAAACCTGATTTTTGCAGATGTTCTTTGAAGGTCTTCAGATCTCCGCTGAGCCATGTGGAGGGTCAGATTCTAGGAGATGCAAGAGGTCAGTGAATCAAAGCAGGCCACAGCAGGACTGAGAGCTGGGGTGACAAACACTTATGAAATGCCAAGTTGAGCCAGACTGTAGGGGCAACCAGTGAAATTCCACACAATGCATCACAAAAGAGATGAGTTTTGCCAAAGGCCTACAGAAAGCCAAGGCAACAGTTCTGCAGATACTGTCAAGGAACTTTTGAGGAGAAAATGCATGGAGGAGAAAAAATTCGGGAGAGATGAGGGGCTGGGCAAAATCATAATGAGGGAATGAATGTGGAGAGAAGTTAACTACAAAGTAAGAGCTTGCATTGGTCAAATGGCTAAATTATGGGGAACTTCATGTGGAAGGACAAGCAATTCAAGTCCCTAGTCCTTAAATGGATAAAAATGCTCAGATACATTGTAAGAAACATCATGACAAATGCTGTCCACAAGCTCTGACAAGGCAGAGACTGCACAACTGATAGATAGCTGTGGGCAAGACACTCTGCCAGCCTCAAGGACATCTGGAAGAAACTAGTGTCCAGAGCTACTGCTAAACACATATGCTATCTGGCTAAATCTCTTATCTGTAAATACCTTCATGACACAATCCTGCTGCAGCCATCTGAGGAAAAAAAAGGAGGTTAAAACTGTGATAGCAGAACACAACCAGCACCTCAGGCTTTGTGTAGATCAGGTTGCCTAAAGCCTAGGGGCAGGGCTGCAAATGGTGAGAGTAGTTAAAAATAAATTCAAGAGAGACCTTCAATCTTGGGATCCCACAGAGAGAGCGGGGGTAGCTGTTCCTCTGGCCTTGATGGATCATTTCCAGGGTGAGGAGTTCTGTGGTATATTTGGGTTTCCTCCACTGTCACCTACCAGTCATTTTCCCCACATTGCACAGATGGACCCTTGACTGCTCTCCACCATTGAAGAACAGTCTTTTGCTGCTAAACCGTGCAAATAAACTCTTAGTATAGGATTTCCCAAATTCCCATTTTAATTTGCTGTGTTAACAACATGCTTGAAACCTTTAAGCCCTAGGGAATATCAAAACATCATAAGCAGTAACAGACTAACTGGCAGAGGTTGGATCCCAGATAACAGAAGCTTCTTTTAAGGAAAGATATAGTATTTAGGTTAAAGTCAATTTATTAGCAGTTACAGTAGATTAAGGGGATTCTACAGGGTGCAAAGTTCCCCTCTTCTTGTCAGATCTATAGTGAACAGTGCTGTTCTTCCCTTGAGCACCACGGGGGCCAGCAGCAGCAAGGGACATGCTGCCGTCACTACCGTCCGCTTGCTGATCTTGCTCCCGAGAGTAATCCTCAGCCAGGAACAACATACGGGGATATTTCCATTTTAGGAAGTGAGCTGTTATTTCACTTCTTCTGGCCAACATTAATTTATGCAATTTGACACTGATGAGGGACAGAGCCCTTGCACAACACTCTACTGTCTACAGTACTTTCAATTTTCAGCAGATCTCCCTCTTCCCTTTGCACTCAGTGATGGTTGCTTAGAATGGTTACAAACAGAAATCCAGATGCAAAGACTGATTTCAGAACAATCTAACAATTATTGTGAAGATGTGAAATATTGCTTTGAATCATTTACTAGCTAGTAAGTGACACGGCTTTGATCTGAACTGCATAACATATCATCTCAGTAAGCAATCATAAGACACAGTGTACAGAGAAACAGTTCCTCAACAAGGACACAAAAAGCCCACCCATCCTACTAAAGGCTGAGGGACATTAAATAATACAACAGCAGGGGTATGTGTGAATGACAGCTGCAGCGGCTCTGTACTCAAAGATATATGAACCATGTAAACCATGTGCATGACCAGTCCAGGTCAGCCCAGCCTCTGTGGCTGCTTCACTTCATCAGGGAGGCAAGCAGATCATTTTTGCCAGATATTGAGTTTACTGCACTTCTGCTTTGCTCTGCAATGCTTCTGCAGTGATGCTACCATGGGGCTGGACAGAACTTGCAACGTTGCAGAGCCCCCGCCACCTTTCCCAACCAAGGGTGCTGCAGCACACAGCCCTGCCCTGCTCTGTTGCATGTTCACAACCCCACACAGTTTCATCAGGGGCATGAGGAAACAGGGACTATGACAAAGGTTTCTCCTTGCAAATATGACTCACCAAAACTTGGCTTTGTGCTAACAGTTGGGCCCAGTTAACATTAGACCAATAAGCCAACGCCATGGGGCAACGTACCTGGCAGAGCAGAGCCTTCCTACCGCAATGGATGAATTGCCACCCAGGGCTGCCCCAGTGCCATTGGTGCTTGGACATCCACCAGCATGTGCCTCCAAAGGAGGCACCTCTGTGAAGAGTGGTAGCAACAGGACACATGACACGATGAGACTTCAGAGAAGTACTGCTCTTCCCCTCAACAGGGAAGGAAAAATTGCTGCATCACCAGAAATGATCTGGCAGAGGATGTGGCTTCCAGACCACTGGGACCATGAAGCATCTGAAGACTTAATCTATCGCTTTACAGAGATGGGCAGGTAGCCACAATGAGCTCCAGAGAGCTCGTGTTCAGCTCCAGGCCTACACGGAGGGAAGAATGAAGGGCTGTAACCTTAGGGATCAGGGCTGTTTTGAGGTAGGACATACACACTTGGCCCAAAGCACACTAAAGACAGCCGCTTTGATTTCTCCTTGAATGCATTAACGTGCAGAGCGGAAATATCTGGCATTCAGCTGGGACAACATACAGCACAGCTGGGGACCCTAGAGGAATCTGAGGCTTTCTGAACTTCTTCAAGCACTTCCTTCCTTTTTTTTTTTTCCTGCCATTTTCTTTTTTTTCCCTAAAAAGTGTTTCTTTTCCCATAGAGAGATATTAAGTTCATGATGTAATAACTGTGGTGAGGGCTGTGCTTTGAGTAAATAGGGATGTGCAGTCATAGAAATAGGAAAAATTATAGGAAAAGTATCTTTGTTAAAATTAGCCTCCTCTCACTCAGCACTGTAGAGTATTGATCTTTAAATACAAACTCTGCCTTCAGATACACACATTAACCAAAATTTGCAAGCGTCATTTGTATGTGCTCAGATAATTGTGACTGGATTAAACCAGTAAGTTTTACATGCTTTACGCTATTCTTCTACTGTATTAAAGCATGGGCCAGCCACTTGGCAGCTGGGTTGGCTACTACTAACCCACAGAGTTACCAGGAAAGTAGAGTCGCTTTATTCTGCCTTGACAATGGAGAGACCCATAGAAGGTGAATATTTGCACTTCTGTGACTTCTCACAGACATAACAGATCGTGCAATGTAACTGAAGACTTCTAAGCCTGGAGTGTCATAAACCAGGGCAGCTTCTACCTGTGCTTCCCCCGCAGAGTGGGACTAGGATGCTCATTTTCCATGTATCCATTCCAGCAGTGGCTGTTTGCTTTCCATCTTCACCCACTAAGGTCAGGAGCCTAAAAGAGCCTGGGCAAGCTCCCAATGCTCTTGACTTCTCTGTGAATTGTGCGAGACTGAGATGAGGCTATAGTTCAAGTATTTCTGAACACTTTTTTGACACACTATCTAGTAACTTGCTAAGGAAGTGCACCAAAGTCTTTTGAAAATAGAAATTAATATAGTATCCTGTGAAGATCCTAGAAGTTATATGCCCCACCTAAGCTAGGCATGCAGAACTCTGTAACCAATGGAAAGGGAAAGAAGCAGCCACACAGAGTGAATCAGTCTGTACAAATATAGGTGGGAGGGATGTATATTTGAGCCAGCTGCCGTTCCCTTGGGAAGGCAAACCCCACTTTGCAATTTTTACAGTTATCCCAGCAATACAGTAATTTCCAAATGACTTTTACCTCTTTTTGCAACATATCCAATGTCTTTGGGAGCCTTCTGGAAGAAAGAGCCTCTATCCACATAGGCCATGAGTCATTTGGAGCAAAGGGAAGCCCCTTGGACCTGGGGATGCAATCGGTTCACAAGACTGTTCCTAAGTCTGAAAGAGCTGTAGGTGTCTGGGGGCACAGAAATCCACACAGGGGCTGGGGGAGGGCTGGGAACAGTGACCAGTTTGATCCCAAGCCAAACCAGGGCTCGGTAAGTCTGATGACCATGTCTGTTAGCCGAAGGTGGAATTTGACAAGAATGTCACCAGGGTGACCGCCATGGAAATTGCTAGCAAAAGGCACAGAGCCAAAGGAGTGGAAAGAAGGGAGACTCATCGCAGAGTACATCCCACGTACTATCTTCCCATCAGCAAGTATTCACTGGACATTCAACAGGCTGAGGCCAGCTCAGGTTTTCCAATATGCTCCTTTTCATCCCTGAAGAATACCACAAGCTTCTCTTAATTCAGTCTCCCTTGGTGGAAATTATAAGTTCAGGTTTCATGGAAACAGTGGGACTGAGGTTTCAGGGCACAGAGAAGCTTGCACACAATATGTATTTTGCCAGGCTGACAGCCCACACAAGTTGTCACAGCGCCTGTACTGAGGTATTTCAATTAGATACAAGATTTTGAGAGAAAGCCAGATTTGGTGAGGCGTGCTTTTTTTGCTAAAGTTCTCCCATTTCTGGATAACCTTGCTGGAGGCCTGAAAAACCCACAAATGGCCTCTGCAAGGTCACTTCTGGACACTGGGAGCAGGCAGGAAGTGGCAGGGAGCAGTAAGCATTACGGGGGTGCTCTGGCTTTGTGGCTATGTGAAAAGCACCATTGCCAAGAGATGAACACATCTCTCCATCGCTGTGGGCAGTCCCCACACTGACAAGCAGCTCAAGGCTATTAAATGACAGGAGGCGGAGAGACAAATCACAGGGCTGGGTGAACCATGTGAAATGAAATTTTTAGCCACAGTCATCTTCCTTACCTCTGGTTTCCCATCCTGGTAAAAACAAGGGTATAACAGCATCAGTAAATGGCTTCCCACAGCGTGCTGCATTAAGAGGTAGCAGGACAGGTGATTGCTGTCAGGTACAGACAGGTTCCCTTGTATGCAGCTCTCCTCATCAACAAAGGCAGATGCTCACCTTGGTGGCACCAATCTGAAACTAGGAGAGAGATACAGCTGGTGAAAACCTCACAGAAGCAGGAAAGCCACCCAAATACACAGGGCAGATATCCCAAAGGCAGGCAGCAGCTCCTCCAGATAAGAACCTCACATGTGTGAGTCCCATATAAAATGTCTGGGGCATAAGTTTTCTGCAAGACATGTGGTATTTTGCATTCTGGCATTATCTCAGTTATGTGGGGAGGAAGGTGGAAAGTCAGCTAAAAGCACTGGCTCAAGTGCTGTCATGGATTTCTCCCTGAGCAGAAAACCAACAAAAGCCCAGCAGATTTTAGAAACAGAGGTTCCTTAGGTAAAGACAGCCCTGGCCAGCTGCCATCCCTTGTAAACCCTTGCATATTACCAGAGCCTCTTCCTCAGATTAAATACCTCAGACTCCATTCAGAATGATGTATGAACCTAAGAAACAACAGAAAAGGTCTAGGACTTATGTATTGACTGACATTCACGTCTGTATGAAGCCACAGGTGCCACATATCTCCATACTCTCTCAAAAGGCTGCCAGGTGAAACTGGACAGACTTCAGGAAGAATCAATTTTTACAAGCTGAAGTTCTTTTAAATTCACTGAATTTTCCTACATCCCAGAGCTTATATTACTGCAAGAGCTATCCAATATAAGTTTCCATTACATGACAAATATAAACAATGACAATTCATCTCATGTTAAAAATTATTTTGCTACTGACATGATAAAATGCCATCACAAGTCTAGAGGACACCAAAGGTTTAAATATATTGTTTTGTGGGTTATTTCTTTTAATAGAAAATGATATAAATAAAATAGTTGTCCCTATATACATTTGGGAGCATTGGAAAGATGTGTATAAGTGACTTTATGAAGTCCACTAGCATTAAGTAGTTCTTTCTGGTTCAGAGAGCAATCTCCAACAGTAAAACTAGTGTTTTTGTCAGGATAAATTCCTCTTGGCTTTGAATAGGAGCTCCAAAAAGACTGAAAGGTCAATTTAATCACGTCACTTGACCTCCTGTTTCTCCCGAGTTTTATTAACAGTATCCTGCTTCAATGGATTTCCTTTGAACAGCACATCAAAAGTGTTGTTAGTGTAGGAGTTAGAACTATATTTGGTTGCAGGACCTTGTAACAGGAAATTATTTCCCTAGAAAGCTCACACAATGCTAAAAAAAAAAATACCATAAAGAATGGAGCTGGCGTGGCCCAAACATTTGGTAGGCGAGATTGAATGAAGCAGACCCATGGCAAGCTGCATGCTATCATGCTATCTTAACAGGCTGTTTATTCTAAGCCTGGGTAACTGCAACATGATGAAAGGCTGGAGGCTGGACTATATTTCTCATGTTGTAAACAAAATATTAAAGGCAAACTCTTTCCTAAGATCTTTTACTTTAGCATTTGCTTTACATGTAACAGCTAGCATGTCTGAACAAAGGCAAGACATCACAAAGCATGAACATCAGCCTGAAATGTCCCCAGACTCCTGGATTCCCACAGGAATCTGGAATTTAAACTGGGAAAGCCTGAGGCGGGTTTCCTTGAATAAAGGAATAACTGTTTAAAAGACGATTAGAACATTTTGAAATCTGTAAACCCAAACAAATCATGCTGCAGGGTAGTCTGTCTCCAATCACCCGATGTGTAAATCTGTCCTAAAGCACTAGCAGTGTTGTGCATCTACTGAGTAACACTCCCTCTAACTCCTTACATGGGACCGTAGGAATGTCTCCAGAGCAGGCAGAAGTTGCAGTTTCCACTACAAGAAGGACTCCACTGCACCAGATTTCTACTTTGGCATAGCACAAATATTGCAAGCCCTACACTTGTGTTGCAATCTGACAGGCCAGTCCTCACCATTTCATCCAGTTTCACCAAGATGGAGTAAAAAAGGTTTGCTGGCAGGGAAATCAGGCTATCCTTTGGATGAACTGGAATAGAGGCAATATGGTGCAAAGATGCACTCACCTACCTGAGTAAGAACATCAAGCCACTCTAATCTGTTTAAGCACTTAGAACAATCCTGGTAAGCCACTAAACTCTGAGCAAATTAAAAAAGATGCATGTATTAATTATTACTCTTGAGATAACCTTCAGAAAATAAGACCTCTGGGTGGGATGAAGCTGTTGAAAAAACAATTTTATGCAGGATCATATTGATAGATTTCCTGTGATGCTTCAGCTGAAGATACCACAAGTTTCAAGCGAGGGAGGAAAACTTCTGTTTCCTCAGGGACACAGTGAAGTTTTAAACAACAGGATAGAGCAGCTTCTCCTGAAAGAGCTTTACAAGGTCTCTCACTATAGAAGGTTGGGATCTGGAGAAACCATCAGCAAGACAGAATGGGAAACACAGGTAGCAACTGCTGGAGGTCCTCTTGCTGTGTGGGATTCTTGGGACTGGTGTTCATGGTTTCAGCTCCCTCTGATTCCTTGCACAACCTTTGGAAAATAATTTCTCTCTCCATTCCCAAATTTCCCAGACATAAAACCAGGAGGATTAACAAGATATCTCAGCTATTTTATGCAATTACACTAGCAGGGTCTCTTTAACTCTGTATGTTATCCAACCTCAGGGTCGTAATTCAGGTACATTTAATAACCAATATGAAATGTTAAATTAGTGCAGGTTCTTATTGCCAAGTGACATGAATCATGAAATATGTTTATAAAGGGACTCTTGCACTAGTGAAAAGAATGCATCCTTATCTCTGTAAAAGGAATCACATTCAAGTGGGCTGGCAAGTATAATTTTTGTTCTCTGGAAGACCCCAATATTTTTGTATAAACTAGATGGAATAAGGTAAATTAAATAAAAATGGCACATTGTGGAAATTTATCAGTGAGTTGCTTAAAATATAAACAGAAACATCAGTACAGTTTGCTTAACTGTAATGCTGATTTACGGTAATGCTGATTTTTTTTTCCTGATAACAAACATTCTCCTTTTTAATGAGGTAGAAATAGTTTATTGCAACAGTAAAAAAAATATAATGGACTATTAATACGCCATAAAACTAGCACAGTATATAACACACTGGAGTCATATTTTAACAAAAGTATCTGCAGGCAAAGTAGCACACAAAAATGAAATGTTTTGATAGTGTCAAAACAAAACCTGTACTGTCAAAGCACAGGAAACCTATGGAAGCCTAGGAAAACTGAGCTCCCTTTCTTGGCCACAAATGAAACATCCACACAGTTTTATCACAAGCCTTTTTGCCTCCCACTTGCGTCAGACTCCCGATAGCTGGATTCAGGAGTACAGACTGATCCTGCCTGTCCCAGAGAAGTCAACTGCTTCCTTGAGACAGTTGTTGATGGCCAGTTGCAAAACCACGCAAGCAGAGCACATCACAGCCTGCCTCTGAGCACGCACAGCTGCCCTGTGGGCCCCTGATGACTTGTATCCCAGCACCTGACAGCAGCACTAAGTGGCCTTGCCCCACACAAGTGCTTCATTAAGGCTTCAGAGGTGATTAGGGCCATGGGACCCCACGTGCCACATGGTAGGGCCCTGCTTCCCGTCTGGAGGGGAGCTCTTCCTAACCTCTGAAACACTCCTCAAAGGAACAGCGTGAGTATCCCAGAACAGAGTCATTCCACTGGCTTTGGGTCAGGTTTGCAGAAAGCAAATGAAATCCAAGGCAAACCCTTGAGCATTTCATGGAAAGATTCCCACTGTCTTCAGCAGGCTTTCATTTGGATTTTTGGGCTACAGCCCAAAACAGCAAGTTCTCCACATAAGAGGTGAGTTTGAGTGACAAGGTAATGCCTCAGAGATCCTTGGCTGCAGGTGGAGGCAGTTGTATCCCCTCTCTGAGGAAGGAGCTGGAAGGCATCCCTGTGTGGCACACCAAGAAAGAGGTAGACAACCATGCTAGTTTTGCCTTTGTCATGCAAATACAGATCATCTCCCCAAGTGTTCAACATCTTGAAACAGCTGTGCAGCTTCCTAAGGCAAAACCGCTGGAAGCCACTCCATTGTAATATTTCATAAAATACTACACCCTGGTCTGTTTTCTTGCATATCTATGTGTATTATTTGTTTGTCCTACACACTGTATGCTGCAGAAGTATCTTCTGTTTTTCTGGCAATCCTGGAAATCATTAATGACCTCAGAGCATAACAGATGGTCTTGCCCTGCTTGTGAAAAAAAAAAAAAAAAAAAAAAAAAAAAAAAAAAACCTGTTCAAAATCCCATGGCCAGCTCTGCTAGTGAGAGCCCAGCGGTCCAGAGGGACCCAGCTGCTCAGAGTACACACAGCCTGTCCCAAGGCGTGCTGTGGGCCGAGACACCACCTCCAGGGACCTCCCTCTCTGAGCAGAGACTGCCCTGGTTTTTTGCAAACGTGCCCCGCTAATCTGCGCTGTGCTGCAACACTATTTGGGTGTATGTTGAAGAAGCTTCGGTGTTCCTCTCCGGCTCGGGCAATGGATTTGCATGCGGGGTTGCTTCGCACTTTGACTGGTACAACACATGCTGTGCTTTCACACTTGGACAATTTAGAGTCAAAGCCTGTCCTCTTGATGCTGGTTCAACTGCTGTGACAGGAAACCTAAAGGGGAAGAAGTAGCTGATCCTGAGCAGAGACAGGAGGACATGTGCTCATTTTCTCTCATTAAAAGAAATGTCACAGGAGGAGCTACAGCCAGGACTAGGCATGCTAGGATATGCACACAAGTGTAAGAAAGAACAGCCTCTGCTTTAGAGATCTTACAATCCAAACAGCAAAAGAGAAGAGTACTATCCCATTTAATTGCTGGAGAATTGAGGCAGAGAGGGGTTTAAAAGGCAGGCTTAAGGTCACATGGAAAAACCTCTGTCAGAGCAGTGATCTGAACTCACTGTCCTGAAAGAAACCCAGCAACCCATCCCAGGCCTTCATGCTAGCTCTCTGCCTGACCCCCAGCACAACTGCTGCACCGGATCTGTCCTGCTAAGGGTGCCAGCAATGCTGGGGAAACATTTTCATTCTGGAGAAGAAAATACAGGGTGGGGTGGGATGAGACTGACTACAAGGGAATTGGGGATTATTATCATCATTGTGGGGCTTCAGACTTTTTTTTGGTCTCTCTCCATTTTCAGCTTTGCAGATGGAGGAGAAACTACAGCTATCACCACTGAAAGTTTTCCCTGGCACTTTGGCCATTGCCCTGACTCTGACCCCTCTTAGAAGCAGAGCTGGGAAGAGAGAGGAGCCAGCAGCTGCAAGCAGCATGGCCATGCAGCTTTCTTAGCTGCAGCCTGACAGCACTCAGAGGCTAAGTGCCTCTCTTTCTCTGTAGGACTGACAAAGGACCTGGCTGACAAAGATGCAGACATCCTCAGTCCTAACTTCTAGAGCAGATGAGCTCCTTTTCACCTCATTAAAACTCCTCTTAGAGAGCCAGCACCTAGAGGAGCCTGGCCTTCAGCACCCCTACTTGACCAATCCTCCTGTTTCTTTTTGGATTTCAAATTTGCATCAGCTCCTTTATTTCTACTTCTCACTTCTTTTATAAGTTTTTTTGGGGAAACAGACCATCCTTTGACCTTGCTCAGGTAACACTGGGGGCGGTGAGTGCACAAATAACTCAAGGAATTTCACAACACAGCCAACGTCTGCTCCCCCAGACACAGTCCTGCAAGACGGCAGTGCTTGTCAGAGTTGCTGGTTGTTCAGATTGCTGTAACATTTTAAGGCCTCACCACAGAGCTCTTTTACCTCAGGGATGTCACATGTATTCAATCATTTCCCAGTAGCCACCCCCAGTTCTCCCAACAGCTGCACAGAGAGGAGAATACCCACAGCCATGAGTCAAACAGCAATAACAGTTCAAAGATCCCAGAGTCTAATTTTCTCTCATTTGGGACTTTTTCCCAAGCTTCCTGACTGCCTGGGACTTTTCCCACTGACCTAAAAGGCCAGGGATTGGGCAAATGCAACGAGGGAGGGACTGCATCTCCCCAGAAAAGCATCTGTCTGCAAGGTGAACATCTTGGGGCAGGGTGGACTGGACTAGCTCCTCTGAAAATGCTCCCTTTTAAATTAGCCCCTCTCACACTGCTCCTTCTGCCTCTTGCTCTCACCAGTCATTTTGTGAAGGGGGCCTGTTACCAACAGACCGAAACCTGCTTGCTTGTACAGGGTACAGACCTGCACCTGCTTTGCTGTCAGGGGCCTGAGCCCACCTCTCCTCTTGAATGCAGCTGAGCTGGCAGGAAGGAAGCTTGCTCCAGCATGGCCACCCCGTGCTCTCCACTGCTGCTTGGCACAATTCACACATCTGCTGCTGACATGCTCCTCACCACCATGAAACACAACCTGCTTGCTCACCCCCTTTACTCCAGGGAGCAGACTCTGCCTCTGGTGCAGGGCTTACAGCAGGCAGGCCGGCAGTCTGTCCTAGCAGCCCCTCAAACTCCTAGGGCCACTCTCTGCTTCTGTAAAACCAGCTCCTTTCTCTGAGGATTTCCTAAAAGGGAGGAGCAGAAGAGCAAAGAGGTGAAATTCTGTTTTCAGTTAACTCCATCCCTCCTGCCTACAGTCATCACTGAGCTTTCATTTGATTCCCCCAGGTTTTGCAGAGCAGATCCTGGCAATCCCTGTTTTGTGCTGGGGTCTCTTTTTGCTATTACCAAAGAGCTCATTCCACCTCTCCCTCTCCTCCCCACCTTTTGGACCACACTGCACAACCGTCCTCCACCACAGCATTAAACTTTTCTAGGAGTTTGGGTTAAAAAGAACATCAGAGAAAGTTTTTTGTGAGTTGGTTGTTCATTTTTTTTCCCAGTAGGAAAAGCCCTCTCAGCCTTTCACTGGTGATGCTTATTCTAGCATGGTCCACTCAGAAAGCTGACCAAGGGCAGACGAGCAAAAAGATAAAAGTAAGAAGCTGGATCCAAGTGGCAGGTCCTGCAGAGCAGGGGGATCTTACACATGGAGCCACGGGGAAGTTAGCTTTTGATTAGAGAGGAGCTTGCCTTTGGCAACATTAAAGACCATCCTCAGGAGAGGTGATTTCAGCTCCTGGCTCTGACACGGGCCTCCTGCCTGACTTGGCCAACTCACTTAATCTTTCCCCCTTTCTCCAATGGCAGCAATATTTCTTTTGCTCTGTCTTGTCTATATATATCATAAGTTTTTTGGAGGAAGGGTAGAGTTAGGCATGTGCTTTCTGGGCTCTCCTGAACCATGGCTGTGATTTCCCAGATCTGCTGGGTATGATCCTAGTGTCTGCCTTGCTGGCAAACAGTAAATGCCCTTTCAGCTCAAAGAAGATCCTGGCTCTGCTTAGGTTTTTTTTTAAAACCTATTAGTTATTAGAGGCATGTTTCAGCTATTAGCACATCATTAATCAACATATCACAAATACAGCAGCTTTTTTTTTGATATTTCAGGCCCCTCTCCAAGAGACTATTCTAATTGCTAATGACTACTTTGCCTATATTATTGAAATGTGCTTTCTTGCTGTGTGTTCTTGGATGTGGCTTTCTCCCACTCAACTCATGAAAAATCTTGTTTTCTTTTTCTGACAAAACATGTTTTTATTAGAAAGGTATTTATCTATATCAGTGAAGGGTTTTTTTCAGTTCCAGGATAAGTTTCCCAGTTAGAAAAAGCAGTCCAGCAAAGCACAGTCCAGCATATGCAGTGCTAACCAGAGGAAAAATAGACTAAATTTTGATTAATACATCTAACGTGACAGATTTTTCCAGACCCCACAAAGGGTTGGGATCAACCAGGGTACTGACTCTTATGAGCACCGTTCTCTCTGCCCCCATCCTCATCTGGGAGAAAAACAAACCCTTCCAGGAATATTACTGAGGTGGCTACTATTATCATGATATATAAAAGCTGTTCTAGAGGCAAAACACCATTTGGTGTTGATTAGCCTTAGTTATAACAGTGCAGTCAAGGTACCATTGGCTCAGAGTAATGGCAAAGAGTGCACCCTCTATGCAAAGCAGCTATTAGCATCCCTTCAAAGATAGATGGTGGCCATCATGCTCAGACTTGGGCAGCAAAGGGAATTAAAGCAGCTTTGAGGACGAGTTATAGAATCACAGAATCATCTCAGTTGGAAAAGCCCTTGAAGCTCCTCCAGTCCAACCATGAACCTCACACTGACCGTTCCCAACTCCACCAGATCCCTCAGCGCTGGGTCAACCCGACTTTTCAACCCCTCCAGGGATGGGGACTCCCCCCCTGCCCTGGGCAGCCCATTCCAACGCCCAACAACCCCTTCTGGAAAGAAATGCTTCCTAAGAGCCAGTCTGACCCTGCCCTGGCACAGCTTGAGGCCATTCCCTCTTGTCCTATCACTTGTTCCTTGGTTCAAGAGACTCATCCCCCCTCTCTGCACCCTGCTTTCTGGTAGCTGTAGAGGGCGATAAGGTCTCCCCTCAGCCTCCTCTTCTACAGACTAAACCCCCCCAGTTCCCTCAGCCGCTCCCATCAGACCTGTGCTCCAGACCCTGCACCAGCTCCGTTGCCCTTCTCTGGACACGCTCGAGTCATTCAATGGCCTTTTTGGGGTGAGGGGCCCAAAACTGAACCCAGACATCGAGGTGCGGCCTCACCAGTGCCGAGTACAGGGGTGAGATCCCTTCCCCGTCCCTGCTGGCCATGCTACTGCTGACACAAGCCAGGATACTAGAGTTCAGCTCTATCTTCTCATTCTCTCACCTGTGGCTGCTGCTCTCTGGTTTCACAAAGTTAGCCCAGTCCAGAGCTGCCACAGTATAAGGAGTATATGGGAGGCCTGTTTCACAGCCAGTTCTCCTCATCTGCCTATTGCATCTCCCCTTTATGCTACATTACTTGTTGGTAAAGTGTGACCTTACACCAAGTAAATCCTGAATCATTCTCTTTGGAAAAAGACATTCAGCTCACCAATTTTCAAGCAGTTGTTCTCCTAGTTTTTCAGATCTCTCCTGCACTTCAGTGTTAAATATCTCATGGTTAATTTCAGCTGAGACCTAAAAAAGAAAAGTAACTACATTCATTCTTTCTGTATTTCTTTCCCTATTCCTGAGCCAGCAGGCTTTACGAGCTGATTTTTTTTTTCCTCCCACCTTCCTCGTGCCCTGAAGTTTGCAATAAACATTTGCTTCAGGATTTCATGCACTCAGCCCATGAGAGGTGCTTGGTCTCTTACACTATACGCATGATGCTGTCCAGGTCTGCACACTGTGATTCCCAAGAAGAGTAAAGCCAAGAATTGCATCTCAGCTGCTGATAGGCAATCAGTTCCCATCAGCTTTCCAGTGTGCATCCCCAGAGAGCAATTCAGGGCTTGAAAACTGACGCCAACAGCCAATGGCTCAACACAGACAGGAAACAGAACAGTTTCTGTTTAACAAAGAGAACACTCCTGAGACAGGCTGGGATGAGGAGGAAGAGGGAAGGGCCTTTCCAAGACTCTACTGTGGAAAAGGAGGAACCTTTGGTGTGAACAGAGCTGCCTTTTGTCTCCTTACCCCTTGATTTCTACAGGTCCTTTTAATAGAGATGAACAGAAGTGACAGACAACAGAGCTGAAACCTCTCTGCCGGTTTTGCTGCCCTCATATTTCTGTTTCCATCACCATAATCCCAAGGAAATCCAGATTAGCACTTTCTCAGCAGTGTATATATTTATAAAAGGACCCTTGAGACACAATGCTGCTTCTGCCATAAAAGCAAATGTCAGCTTAAGAACAGTTAATTCTATTGACTAGAAGGGAGTAACAGCATTTATTTTTGTTCGCTGGCAATATCTTACCCTTTAAATGATATCAGATGGGCATGAGTCAACAACCTAGCCTTGGCTAATGTGCCGCTCAGACTGCCTATAAATAGATTTTACTTTCCCTCTTTCACATAAAGCTAGCTCCTACAACAGCTATGCACAGCCAAGGGGTCTGCTGGGGACAGGCACACAGAAGCCTGGAACAAGTGGGTATTGAAGTAGCTACATTTGCTCTAATTTCTTTCTGCTAGAGGGGCCACTAAAAATACGGTAGCCACTGAATTGCTTTAGCTTGCATTATGGCTGGGTGGTGCAGGAGCAGAGAACAGCAGCCAAATTCTTCATACCTCCTTAGTCTCAGCTGAAAAAAGCTCCAAAGCAGATGATAATTAAGCCCTTAATATTTCCAATAGATTTAAAATATGGCTATTTTTACCACAATGACATGCAGAGCCAAGAACACTCACTACACACAGACAGGGAGCGGCAGCTCTATTCTGCCTGCTTAGACAGCTGCAGTCTTTACACGGGTACATCTGGGAGATGGAGAACTTGAATAAAAGTTGGATTTAATTGAGTTTTCATGCAAACTCTAGTGTTTTGCCTAGCCAGGTGATGTTGAGGATACTGAATTATTTTAATCAGCTGCAGGAAAAAGCTGTATTACCTCTTTTTGAGGCAATGTAACATTTTTCTGGTTAGGACTCAAAGAACATGCCCCAGGAGCAGTGAAATGGAAGTTCAGTCTTTCTCCATGAACTGGGCCCCGTCAAACATGCCTAATGGCCCTGTGGGCTAGCTAGAAGTAAGGAAGTGATACAGCATCACACCCCACTGGGCTGGCTGTCGTTCCTCAGGCTGATGGAGAAGACCACCATAAGCAGCTGAGTCAGCCTGGGGTGAATTCTAGTAGGAGTCTAAACCACAGGCTGTAGATACTACACCCACTGAACTGGTGAATAATCCACAGAATACTATACCCACTAGTGACCCAAATTCTTTACCTAAGTCTACAGCCTAATAACAGAGAATTCAGGGCTGGGGTTGCCACTGGTGATAATTTCAGAAGAAACCCGTTTCCCCCAAGACTAATTTCACAATCCCTACCTTAGAGCAGAGTGCATTCACAAAAAAAATATTGATTCTTCCATGCCATGTTTCATTTAACTCAAGATTGCACAGTCACCTATCTGAAAAGTTCATCAATTTTTGTTCAGATTATTTCTATCTGTTTTATAGAATAAAAAGAGGCAGAAACATTCAGGTAACTTCACAAGAGCTTTCTGCTCCCACGTTTTGTCCTGAAATGAATGAAGAAGATTGTATGTTCCTTTAGGGTCTCTTGCTGGGATTTCCTTTCTTGTCCCTAAAGAGAATTCAGGATGGTGAATGCCAAAATCTTGGCTGCATCTGTGAGAGTTTACAAAACTCCTATTGTTGCTCTAATCCCAACCCATGGAAATCTAGATCGTTTACCACTAATATCAAGAGGAGTTCAAAGGGTGCTTTGGAAAAATCCTGTCTTACATCTTGCAGCTGCTAATGTTACTGATTTGTTATTAATTTGAGCTGATTTTAATGATTTTCGGTGATTTTGATTTAAATAAGGAATGATTTCGAGTAACCATACAATGAGTCATGCTTCTACAAAGTCCTTTGTAAAGTCCCAGGCTAAGGCCACATAGGCCAGTAATAATCATTAACCAGACTTCTATTCAAATAGTAAGATTCATGACCAGGTACTATTGTTAGGCTGTTCAGTGAAGACAATTTATTGCCCTGTAGACCAGGTGTTCTAAAAGATAGGTTGTGAAAGGGCCTCAAAGCATGTTAAAATTATAAATGTGAGACAAGGACACTGGAGGGTCTTTCTTTTGAGTCAGTAGTCTGTGGTGGTCATAAAAGCAGCCCCCCGCCTCATTTCAGGACTCAAGCGTGCATGACCAGAAAGAGGTGGGAATAAGAAAATAAGTTGTGGGAATTATCATGCTTAGGCATGAGAATTGTTTGTTATTTATTACTGTACCCTATACAATCAGCATGCTACGTGGGTCAGGTGTGTGTTGGTGGTGAGACAAGTCCCCTACGCACCCAGCCGTTAATAAAGGAGTGTCTCTTATCTACATCACGTTGGTGTCAATAAGTTCTTTTATCTTATTTGGTGACACTAAGGTTTTCTGAAAATCTTGTCCCCCACTGCAGACCATACATAAAAGATGAGATGCTTGAAAAAATGTCCCATGAAACCTGGGAATGATAAGGAGTAGGCTGAGATCATGCAATTAGATTAGAGATTCCCTGTTACCCATCACAAAGTGGTGAAGGTCTAGCTCATACCATGGTGCACAGCAGAGTTTAGAAGCTGTCAGGGGATTAACAGGACATGGTTTTGCAACATGCAACAAACAATTCCCAGTAAGTGAGCCAGCAGAAATAAATCTTTGTGTGAAATACTGCATGTGCTGGGGCAGGGTGACCAACTCAGCTGGGAGTCTACATTTAGTGACTGAGTCATCTCTCTCAACCTGTTGAATGGGACCTAAAGGTTTTTCCTGCTTGGTTTGACAGAAATAGATACACATATAACAACTCTGATTGCAAGGCAAGTTTCCTTATATTGAAGCTCAGGTAGGGCCAGGTGGCACTACAGAATATTAATCAGTCACAATTTATAGACTGTGGGATTTAAAGAGGTACGGTCATAATTGTACACTTCTGCTTTTTCCTGCCCACTGACTGAGTCTGAACAGCATTTAAGATTTTCTTCATTAGTCAAAGATTTCAGCAAGTATCTGACAGATCTGCACAATGGTGAATGGCAGCTCAGTGAAATCCAGCTCTTGGAGAGCTGTGCATATGCTCTACAATCAATTCATGCATCCACAGTAGATCTGAGCCTTCCACTCAAGAAGTAGACACATTGATGCCTGAATATGCTAAGAAATCCCAGAGCAAACAGCAGCTGACCTAGGAAGGGGAGGCCCCACATTGCCAGAGATCATCTGGTCCAGCACATAGGGGATTACACAAACAGTCAAGAAATCCCCCGGAAGGTGTGGTTAGCACAAAATCTCTATTGTCAGCCCTAAGAACAGAGCTGAAATGAATGAGCAGAGTCGACTTGTGCAATAATGTAACATAACATCGTTCATGCAATAACAGTGCTCTGAGACACTGTGGGTAGCACACCTGCTCTCACCTGGACCGGATCATCCCACCTTGCTATCGCATAGTTTCTCTCCTGCAATTCAGTGTTACATTCTTGTTGTCCTCCACACTTAGCTACTTTTTACTATAGCCTTGAAGAGGCACTACATGTCCTTTGATTCAGAGCCTAAGGCCAGAAGTAAGCATCCCATTACCTCAATCAAACACTGATTTAAATCCAATTATCCTTCACATGCCTATCTTTCAATCTTATTCTGAAGTCCACAAGGGGTGAAGAATCTACCATTTGGTGAAAAATTAAAAAAAAAATAAAAATACATAGTCCAAAGAGTAAAACACAAAAGAAAAGTCAGTATAAACGTCTTCTTGTTTTACTCCAGAGCTAGATCTCTGTCCTTCCAGAATATTATAAACACAATTACTTTAGAAGCTGGTAACGACTGACTGAGATTCACAATTGCAGACCTAAATAAAGGCAAGGCATCTTTCAAATACCTAAGAAAGAGAGAAAGCCTAAAGGTAGAAGCGGGAAGCATGCCTGTATAAGGAGGAGGAAGACAGACAAAGCTTTTGGGGCACGGAGCCTGCTGAAGAGAGTTGGAGATTTCTGACAAGAAAACTGTTTGTTTCTTTTGATATCATAGCAACAGGACATCACATACATGGCATGTAAGTAAATCATATTTTTTCCAAGGAATACCTCTCTCCAAATAATACAATCAATTTTTCCTCTTAACGGAAAAAAAACCCTATATGAACCTGCCAGGTCAGAGGGACAACAGTATCCTCATCCAGCACATCTTCTGTTTTTCCAAAAGCATTTCCCAGCTTTAATTCCAAGGTGGTGAGTCCTCCCATCCAGATAGTTGAGCAGTCTATTCATGAGATACATAAATCACAGATAAGGAGGTGACCTAGGCAGTTCTTGGAAAAAATACAAGAGTGATGTTTGCTTGCTTTCAAACTGCTTCCTCCAGGCCATCCACATGGCTGCTGCTGGGCACTGATCCGCCAGTCTCTGACCTGTTTTCAGCTCAGATACAAGCCATTCTCCCACAGCAGCTTTGCAGGTAGCAGTTACCTTTGCTCTGGTCTCCTTTGTTATAGTCCAGCAACCCCCCAAGCCTAGATTAAGACAGGGGATTTCAAGACACTGGGAACTCTCCTCCTCCTGACGTTGGCTGGCTTCAGTTTCAGGCACGGATCATTGGAAAGCATCCCAGGTTACTTC